TTTCCCTCTCTCCCCCTGCTGCCTCTGTCTGATAGAAGAAGCAGGGTGGAGGGGAGCAACTAGTCCTTAACATCCTTAGACTGAATACCAATTTTATAATTTAATGAATCAATCAAATGGTGTTGGGGAAATGTAATGTAAGCTAACTTTTGTGCATTTCCAGAAGTTGAAATAACAGTCAAAACAAGCATCAAGAAAATAAACCTATGTTTTAATATTGTGACTCTTTTCAGATCATGCAGCAAGAGGGATCAACTTGGTCCTTTTCAAATGAGTGATATCAGTTGGCTTACACCTACTGTGCAAAATCCTCTGGCAGTGGGGCAGTATGTTAACAACTGTTCACACAGTAAGTTGGAAGGTAGATTTCCTAGTCTCCAAGCTGTCTTTAAGGGTGGAAATGACTTTTGTTGGGGGTGGGGAACGGCAATTGATGTTAGAGAATGGCACTGCATCTAACAGTGGCCATTTCAAAGAGATGTTTCAAATACAATGGTTGGTGCAATAGAAGTTCTCAGGCTGAAATTTCCAGTCATCAATGGGAAACGGGTATCCAAATCTGTGAGGGCAGCTTTGAAAATTTCAACACAAGGAACCAGCACAAGGCCTGTCCAACACTGAAACGCTCAAAATATGGCTTAAATGGGGCTTATGCAGTGTGTAAGTCTTGTGCTGGCTCTTAGAACAGGGATGGATTTCACCCATAATGAACACAGCATGTACTTTTCAGAAGGATATTTTGTATTTACACATATAATATGTATGAATATCTCAGTCCTGTATAAGACATTTTTTTGTCTCCTTCCATTCACCCCCTTCCAGATAAGGCCGCCAACATCTGTTATCAAGAGTTTGATGTGCCTGAATACTTTCCAATAGAACTGAAACAGTATCTTCCAAACATCACCTATAGCTATGACATACCTACGTAAGTATATTTGTGCATTTTTATAGCATTTAAAAAGCCAAAGTAGGTGAGCAAAGTTCATCCCTGCTGGGATGAAGTCAGTATGAAGTATGACAGTATGAAGTCAGTGTTCTTGTGGAAATTCAAGTGGCCAGTGTAGACAGCTGGCAAGTTTTTCCGCAAAAGCAGCTATGACACAGCCCTAGAGTTACAAAAAAAGGAATAAAAATGCAGGACAATGTAGCACTTTAAAGACTAACAAGATGGTTTATTAGATGATGAGCTTTCGTGGGCCAGACCCACTTCCTCAGTTGACCGGTAGCTAGATAGTTACAAAATCCTGGCTATGAACTGAAATTCCATCATTTTGTAAATTTATTCTTTGCTAAGAATCTGTAAACGTTCTTTGGAAATCTGAGAGAATTCACAGCAGCATGAAAAACTTCCAACAGATTCCAGTATCTCTTTGTGAATGCAATGAGCTGCTGCTAACTTGGCCAGATGGCTTGAGTGCTTCTTGATTGGAAAACCCACCATCATCTTGAGACTGAAATAGATTCTAGAATTTGGAAGTTGTAGGTGGATCAACTAAAACTTTTCACATGGTAGTGGAGCTGTTTTCAGAATGCTGTTTTTGGATGGAGTAAGGGGTTTGCATCCCAGAGGAAACTGTTATCATTAATCTCAGGCAAAAGACTTTAAAGCAGAGAAGGGTAAACAGTAACTTTATTGAATTTCTTGGCTTTTTGTCCCCAAATTTAAGATGCACATAGAAGAAACCCAAATACTTGACAAGTGTGGAAATTCACAATGAATGGACCCAACCTATCTTAACTTTATCTACTTAGGACTTGTCTACACTTGGAAATTATAGCAGAGATTTGGCTACCCAATTCCTATTAATTTTTACAGTACCTAAATCCAGATTCTTTCTGTAACTTTTAAAATCTCATCCCACATCATATTGGAACATATTCTTGAAAAGTTGAGGGAAAAATTGTACATGACAGTAATGCTATTCGGCTATGTCTAGACTGGCAAGTTTTTCCCCAGAAGCAACTGCTTTTGCGGAAAAACTTGCCAGCTGTCTACACTGGCTTGACCGGTAGCTAGATAGTTACAAAATCCTGGCTATGAACTGAAATTCCATCATTTTGTAAATTTATTCTTTGCTAAGAATCTGTAAACGTTCTTTGGAAATCTGAGAGAATTCACAGCAGCATGAAAAACTTCCAACAGATTCCAGTATCTCTTTGTGAATGCAATGAGCTGCTGCTAACTTGGCCAGATGGCTTGAGTGCTTCTTGATTGGAAAACCCACCATCATCTTGAGACTGAAATAGAAAAGCGTCCGTGCCAATCTAGACGCGCTTTTCCGCAAATGCTTTAAACGGAAAACTTTTCCGTTAAAAGCATTTGCGGAAAACAATGCCAGTCTAGACGTAGCCCTTGGCTCTTATCGTAGACAGGACAGGGATTCAGCCTGTGGTTTACTTATGTCCAGCTGATATGTTAAACACAACAGCAACTATTGATTGCTAAACTAAGGCTTGTGGGAAAGCTACCATTCTACTCATATTCCTACTAGGACTTTAGCTGACTATTCTCTCAAGATGTTGTGACTTGCCTGAGTGTAGGTTTATCTGCAATTGGTGGTAGACATATGTAGAGCAATGTCCTATCCTTGATCATCCTTGCCATAGCCGCTGCCCTGTCTCCTTCAGTATCGTTTTACACATCACAACTAATCCCTTTTGTTTGGTTTTATAGCCTGACTACCTTGTGTGCTAGGGACTATACTTCCATGTAAGTGTTTCCCTGTGCCTTTTCTATTGATAAAAATTGAAATTGGGCATGTGTGTTGCCTGTAATTTGGCATGTATATTTCAGCTATGTTGTTAACGCTATCAAAGGATTTCCAGTTCTTTTGTATGAACAGAAGCCGCAGAATTAATGTAACCATCACCATTCTTAGTATCTTATCATGATCAGTTTAATAAATGAGCAAACCTTCTTGCTTTTCTTGTTTTGCAGCCCCTTAAGGTGTGTGGTTCTTGTCACACTCAGAGATATTGAGCAAGGAGAAGAGCTTTTTTCTAATTACTACACCATTGTCAACTGAATCAATGGAACCATGGATTAAAGAATTATTTGCCATTAAGATATTTATTGTGTACACTTGGCAGCCTTCTGTGGAAGGGAGAGCTGTGCTTGTCAATTAAAAATGGGCTACAAAGCTGTATTTTCATGTAAATATTACTTTATATTTTGATACAGTTGTGTAGGTTTGAAGCTGTTTACATCATTTAGTTTTCAAATGCTAATGCTTCATCAAATTTAATTGGTTTTTAGCTAACTGCACAATAGCTCATGAAATTAAAATCTAATTTATGAATATGCTATTTCATCTTCTGTTTTGTCTATTTGCATATCACTATGATCCATTTTAAACCTCTAACCCATTCTGCTGTTCTTGCTATAATTAGAGCCCTGCAAATCTGCAGATATCCATGGCTCATTTTTGCAGATATGGATGCAGATACAAATCCTTGCAAATTTGTGAATATCCACATTATATCTGTTGGTATCCGTATCCATTGATGTCAGTGTGGGTATCCATGGCTCATCTTTGTGGATACAAATTCAGATACAGATTTTGTATCCGCATAACACTATATCTATAATGGACATAACTTGTACAAAACATGTCCTTCCAGTAAAATGTCCCTGTTACACTGTGTTTCTAATGTGATCCTCTGCACAACACAATTTCTCATAATTGCTCGTGCAGTTATATTAATAGAATGTTATGTTTTGGAAAATAAATTCTACTCTTACTGCCTTTTAAAAAAAATTAGTATCTTTTGGCATGCATTTCTGAGGCAAGTCATTCACATGCTATGTATTTTGAGAGACTATTTTGACCTACAGCTTAATTGAACTAATATCAGTGATGTGTTTTCTTTTAAAAAGCAAGTGTCTAATATTTTTGCTAATGGGATCATTTCCCAACACAAATTTCTTTGAAGCAGTGTTTGAAATTTTTATTTGCCTAAACTCTAGAGAGCAGTGGACAACTTGTAGCCCCCCATGTTGCTCTTCAGGGTATCATGAGACATTTTGCTGACCGTGACCACCTGCAGGCATGGCAACCTACAATTCCCAGTGGCCTCTGTTGTCTGTTCCTGACCAATGGGAATTGCGGGAAGCAGTGGCCATCATGCCCCTGTGGCCCCTTTAGTTGCAGTGACTGCTCCCACAGCACCCATTGGCCTGGAGCAGAGAACCCTGGCCACTGGGAGCTGTGGAAGGCGGGGCCAAGTAAGTGTCACAGTTAACAAAATGTCTCATGGCCTGCAATCAGATTACCCATGAACTTTCTGTGGGCCACCGTTTGTTCATCACTGATACAGAGTTTATGAAAATAAAATTCTCAAATAGTGTTTCAAAAAAAATGTGTTGGGAAATTATCACATTAGTAAAAATAGCCCTTTACATGCCATTTCCCTCTACAGTACCAATGCTAAACAGAAGGCAGGGTTGTCTGCTGTGCCCATCAATGTTGAGTCTCCTCTTAAGAGGCCAAACTAGGAACTTGCTTCCTTTCTTTGCCATTTGATTTTCTCTTCCCTTCTGTGACAGGGCACATCTGCCCTGCACTGTTCTTTTAAGGGTCAAAACCCAGCCCTGTGAGAGGGCTGAAGTGGTGGAGCCAGCAACTGAGGCAGAGAGCACCAGTTAGGGTCCAGCTGAGGCTCTATAAATAAGGGCTCTTGGAGGGGCAGAAACAAGACTCGTTCTTGCTCCAGCTGTGGAGCAGGATGGACCTAGCTGTGAGGGAAGTTAGAGGCTTCCTGACCCAGAGCAAGGCAGGCTCCAAGGCCTGAGGCTACTAGGGCTGCAGGGAGGAGACCAGGGCAGTAGGAGGCAGCAGGTTCACACCCCTTTCCTATGATGAGTGGCCATTACAGACTGCAGTTTGCCCCTGAGGTAGTGGCTAGATGAAGCCTGGCAGTAGGGTCACTGAAGCAAAGTGGGCATAGGGGTTTGGGGCTCCCCTGAGGGGGAGGGCCCAGAGGGTGGGAGCATTGCAGCAAGGTGGTACCCAGAGAAGAGGGCATCACGGTCTGAGAGGGATGTGGGTTCTAACAAAGTGGTGGAGACATTAACAAACAGGTAACAGCAGGCATGGCAGCAGCTGAAAGGGGGTGCTCCAGAGCTGAAGAGCTGATTCCTAGAGTGTCCAGCAGGAGACACTGTGGTGGTGAGTCTGAGACTGAATCAGAAATTGTTTTCAAGGGCCCTTGCCTTAGCAGAAGTCTACTGAGTACAAGGCCACCCCATAAAGAAACCAGAGTAAGCAGCAGAGCTGGTTGACCTCTGAAGAGGAGCCTGGGTGCTCAGGACAGTAATCAATGCTTTTTTCTCTCTCTCATATCCTCAAGAAGACAGTGCAGCACTCAGACTCTCTGGCTAGTGTAACTTTCTTTGTGTTCAGCACAAAGTAAAGTTTACAGTCATATGAAAATTACTCATCTGGGTATTTTAGAAGAACTAGGTGCTATCTTTAATCGCCAAGTAGCAATGCAAGCCAAAGCCATTAATTGTAATAGTGTTACTTGCATGTTAATAGCTTTTAAAATCATATAAAGTAACATCTTAAAACTGGAAGCTGCATCCACTACTGTTTTACTCAGAACAGTCTCCTCATTCCACCACTACTAGCTCCGAATGTTAAGGTAATTTAGGACTACAAGTCCCCAGCTGTATTCTGCAGAGTGTGAACACAATACACGGGGACTAGCTCCTCCTTGATAATGCTGCTGAAAATGAGGAATCAGCTAACCAACCTTCGTTATAGTCTGCTCCTTCATAAGAGGAAAGCAAGAGGCCTCACTCGGATCTGGATTAGATCAGGCAGTGGTAGCCAATATCACCCTGCTGGTTAGCGGAAGAGAACCAAAAACTATCCTTTGAGGGGAGCAGACCAGCAATAGGAGATACCAGGCATGAGCTACCAGACATACCCAGTAGGTAAATCAAAGTGGTGGGAAACTAGGCAACTGGTTGTATTTGGGCTAAGCAGACCTTGGGGGAAGTGTGAGCGAGATAAGAATGCACTAAAGTGGGATATGTGAAATGGTTTTACATTCAAATATGAATACACAAGTTAGTTTTTTTAGATTATTTAGCTACACACAGGAACACAGGCTCTTATTTTATAAAATCTCAGTTGTTTCAGTAAATCCTGCTGTTTTAAGAATAAGTAGTAGAGGAGAAGATAATATAGAATTGTTAGGAACTTAATTACCAGCATGACAACAAATCAGACATCTAAACAAAATGTAATGGCTGGAAGTTGAAACTACACAAATTCAGAATGGATATGGTTAATTGACTAATTAACCATTTGAACAATTTACCAAGGATCACTGGAGGATTCTACATCACTGACTTTCTAAAACAAGAAGGGATGTTTTTTAAAAAGATCTTCTTTAAGAATTATTTTGGGGAAGTTCTTAGGCCCATATTATACAGGAGGTCAGACTAGATGATCACAAGAGGTTCTTCTGGCTTTGAAATCTGTGAACAATACAATGAACATTCTCTGTTGGTTTGTAATCTAGGAAAATGACTGATTAACTTTTAGTTGGAACTCCCTCAAATCAGCATTTTTATGCTAATTAATTCTAAATCCTTGTACATGAGTAGTGTAGATAAAGGACAAATAGTACAAAGACAAAAAATAAGACTATTTTAAATTACACTTCCTAGTTCAACAAGGTCCTCTTCCCAAATAGCAATCTGCTTTTAATCAACTCATAACATACATAAAATGATGTATTAGTGCTGGTATATAATTAACATATTTAGGGCCAATGCCTAACAAACATGAAGAATTACATTGAGTAAATAATTCTTTAGAAACTCTAAGCACTTAGGCTAGGTCTACACTCGTGGCTTCTTGCGCAAGGGTTCTTGTGCAAGAAGTCTTGCGCAAGAAAATGTCCACACTACTATGCGCACACTGTGCCTTTGTGCAAGAGCTCCCATGGCAGTATGGATGTTCTTTTGCATAAGAAAGCTCCGACGGCCATTTTAGCCATAGGGCTTTCTTGTGCAAGAAATCCCTGCCGAGCGTCCACTCTGCTCTCCTGCGCAAGAGGGCTTACACCTGTTAAAAAAATAGCATAGCTCTTGCGCAAGAAGCCCTCTCTTACCACACCGTACTGTAAATTTCCTTGTGCAAGAGTGGGTGGGCAATGTAGACGCTCTGCAGATTCTTGCACAAGAATGGCCATACTTGCACAAGAAGCCGCGAGTGTAGACATCGCCTTAGTTTCAAATTATCCATATAAAGATTAAATGCTTCCAAGGCAGTGTGAATAATTTCCCTTACAAGGACATACCAAAACCTTCATTAGGAAAATTAATTTGACTAGTTCAGATCTTTTCCATATCTTGAGCAGAATTTGCTATACAAAAAAGAACAATGTACAGTAAAACTCCGATAGTCCAGCATTCAACTGTTCCGCACTCCCAATACTCCGGCATCAAAATGCCAAGCACTTCTGACCAGCTGATTAAAAAGCCTTCCGCTCAGCACACATGCTCCATCTGGTTACAGCCAGCATAAGGTGGGGGGGAGTGGGATCGTGTTACAGTATGGAGAAGAGCATTTTGCTTCAGTGAAGGGGAAAGGGGAGGAGGATCAGGTTACAGCACAGAGGAGATGGAAAGGGCAGGGGAGAGGGAGGGAGATTGTGTCCTGGCCAGCTGTTAAGCCATGCAGCTGTACCAGACCTCCTGATTCTCCGGCAAATCTGATAATCCGGCACCACCTAGGTCCTAAAGGTGCCGGATTATCGGACGTTTACTATACCCAACTCTATAATAATTGTCAGTCCTACAGGTGCACTTCCTATTAAAAAAAGTGGTAAGATTTGAGATATGTATCTTTTTCTTAGGTTATCACTCAGTTTTTAATCTGTTTTACTTGAGTATTTCTTTGGCCAATTGTTGATATTCAATTTGTTACAAAAGTCATACATTACAGCTGCAGTTGGTACTGCTAAATACAAGAGAGCTAATGGTGCAAACCATACTCTGTGTTCTGGTCTTGCTAGTGAGCAATGCTCCTATACTGGAAGAGGAGAATCTGATATGGATGCCCAAGAGAGATAGCTTGGCGTGTTTATATTAAGACTCTTCATAGGGCTGGCCTAAGACTTCATCTTTTCCATTCCAGGCTCCTTTAGCAGTAAAGCAAGCAAGCAAGCACGCTAGGACAGAGTATGCCGTTTCTTTCCGGTTGCAATGGGTGGTCTGGTGGAAATCCGCAATGACTGCAGAACAAACATAATACAGTCCTTGCTCTATGCATCTCCTTTTCACCATACAATGACAAAATGAGACATCTTGTTAGGGGTATGCCCTGGCTCGGTTTTTTGAAACAGGTGAATTATGTACTTGTTCTGAATACTTCCATATGTTACCTCTCTGCAATAAGCAGTCTTTGTAATATTCCTAGACCTGCTTCTGCTGCATGTGTTGTACTGGCTTGGCAAACTGTACAACCAAGTTTATTAACAAGGCTTCAATTTTGATTCTTATAGGTTTCCTATTTGATGTTCAAAATGTAACTATAATTTAAGTTTTACCCACTGTTTAACATTTTTTCTTAATTCCTATGTTACTGCCTTTCCATTTCTAGGTGTAGCCCATTTGGTTTCTGATCGCTGTAAGCACAATTAATTATATGCACCTTGATTAGTATCTATTTGTGGTTAAAATAGGAATTAGATTGATTCTTACATAGCAACAACTGGTCTGTTATGCATTCTCATGGGTTATGTCTACACTGGCACGATCTTGCACCAGAGATATGCAAATGAGGCTAAGCGTGGAATATTGCTGAGCCTCATTTGCATATCTAATGAGCCACCATTTTTTGCAAAAGAGACTCTTGCACCAGAAGGAGCTGTCTCCACTGCCCCTTCTTGTGCAAGAAAAACCCTCTTGCGCAATGCTGCTACACTGATTAGTTTTGGGAATAATGGCATTGTGTAGACAGCTCCTTCTGGCGCAAGAGCCTCTTCTGTAAAAATGGCAGCTCATTAGATATGCAAATGAGGCTCAGCAATATTCCACGCTTAGCCTCATTTGCATATTTCTGGCGCAAGATCGCGCCAGTGTAGACATAGCCTTGTGGTTCCTGTAATTTAACCTTTTCTGTAGAACTCTTTTCAGGGAGTTATGTAGTCTAGTTCTTTAATTTTGTAATTAGTGTCAGAAATTAAACAACATACAAAAGAATTCATAGTGTCTATTCATTTACTCAACTTACATAAAAGAATGGAAGCAACGAAAGAGGAAGTCCTCTAATCTTTCAGACCAGTATATGAGTCAAACCAAGTGGGTGAACAAGAAAAAGTTCCTCTTTTCATCCATGCAACAGTAAGATTAGGCAGCACCTGCATTTACATTTCCTCTGATTTAGCTTGAAAGAGGATCTATGGAGGGATCAATTAAGTTACTGAGCAGAGTTTGATACCTGGAAACAATAGAAGCCATGTTTTAATGAGCTGCATGACAAGACCTGGTCAGAAGCTAAACTGTGTGGGCTAATGGCTTCACTGACTGCAAGTGCAGACAAAAGCATGGGCTGATTTGGCAAGCTGAGTATAAAACAGCCAGTCAATCAGAGAAATGAGCATGTCCTGAGAGCAAGCAGAGATGACAGATACATTCATCACCTAACTCTTAAGGCACCTATATCTACCATTTAGCCTCATTGACATTCTCAAAACTGATTGCCACCAAAGACCATAGGTGCCATCTGCCAGCAGGCATTCACAGAGCAGTCTAAACCCTGATGCCAACCCACAGCTAATGAGCTGCTCAGACCCCTAGCACATGCAGAGGTCTCAAAGTGGCACTCACTCCAAGCAGGAGAATCTTTCCCGTCAGGCATGATCATGTAGATTTACTAGGACCCCATACCCGTCTGACCCTGCTGCAGTCCACCAATAGGTTCGGGGAGGGGGATGGAGCAAAACATAGCTCCCACAAAAGATAGCCAGGAGCATAGGGAAAAATAGAGATACACTGAGTTACTGTCAGCAAGGGGAAGGCAGTGTTCAACAGCTAGGGCATGGACTACCTAAGGAAGGTGACCTAGATTATATGCCTTACTCCAGATGAGGATGCATGCATGGGTGTCCTGGAGGGAGCACCTCTCTGGCCATCAGTGAGGCACACCAGGTCAGGGGCCTAAGTCACTCTCCTCTGTCCACCCCTTTTCACTTCTGGCTACTTCCTGCCTCTTGAGTATCCTTTTCTTAGGCACTTAGCTCTCCCCATGCAGTGTGGGTACCTACCTTGGAGTTGAGGATTCCACCAGGCAGCAGGCTACCCAGAAATACGATGCTGAGCATGTCATCACTCTTTGTTCAGTTGAAAATTAATGGCTCAAACACACTTGCTCAGGAGAAGGCGTTGTACGAGCACTGCACTGGAAGCCAAGAATTAAGCATTCTAATCTGGTTTAACCCTCCTGTGGCTTTTGGGCAAGTCACTTTAGCTCTGACTCAGTTTCTATATACAATAGGGATAAGATATATTCTCCACAAGGAGAAGGAAAAGGTTCTCCCTATTGTATATAGAAACTAAGATATATTCTCCACAAGGAGAAGGAAAAGGTTCTTAAAATGGTCTGAAGTTGAGAAGTTCTTAATACTACTATGGAATACTCCAAAAATGCTGTTCTGAAGCCATGATGTTTGCAAGATGAATAGATAAAGTGAAACCTGTAATTATCTGTCTTCCTGTTATATGTCCAAAGAATCTCTCTTGCCTGTGTAATAACAAGATCAGACATTGCCTTACTAGCGAAGAGACTGTCCTACATATCTTAATACAGTCATACATCGGGAGATATTTTAAGTGGTTAATGTGTTGCAGATCATGAAAACAATTTTACAAAAGAAAAAAAGGTTTCCAGACATTTATTTCTGGAACTGTACACCAGGTATTAAAGTACAACAAATACAAAATAATGCTCAAAAAAATCAGTGTTTATGTACAAATATTAAAACCAATGCAACAATAGCAACTTCCTCTTGAACATCTGATACTAAAACTTGTTCCGATTGTCACTGATTTAGGTCATTATACACAGGGTGCTTATTTCAAACTGGGAAAGGCTGGAATCACTGGTAGCGTAAGAGGGCCATAATCATACCTATAATATTAAACAGTAATTGATAATTTCCTCCGTTAAGTGAAAAACATTAAAAAAATAGCAACGTTGTCATTATTTTATAAATTACTGTATTTAGTTTCCCCTTTGTAGATAATGTGCTTGTAACTCTGGGCAAATAGTGTCCCTGGTGGTCAGTATATCCATTAGTTTACATTCAAAGTTAAAATATTCACTAGAGACTTTGGTTAAGTAATGTAGTATCACTATGTTCTACTGGATCTAAAGTTTTTACACATTTTTTGACCCTCAGTTTTAAAAATTAAAAGCAGGAAACAATTGCACAATTCATTGACCTAATTGTACACAATTTAGTATTCTGCAAACAGTATTGTACATCCTTCAAGTAAATTCAGCAGTTTGACCATGACAAGAGGAAAACTAAACATTTAAAAATCTAGCATGAGAAGATGACATGACTAAAAAAAGTAAAGTATTGCTATAATCACAGCACCAGTTACACTTCTAAATGAATAAGCTATCCTCTTCCCTGTACATAAAAGATACATCTACCAACACTGCAATTGCCCATTATGGATTTTTGGTTTGTTCATATGAAGAAGAAAAAAAAATGTGGCAAAAGACAAAGAATTCATCACAGTTTGTTACAAGAATTGTGCTTTACCATCCAAGAAACAAGGCAATATATTTTCTTCATATGTTTGCAATCACACTTATCTTCACGCTGACCCTTAAAACGCAATTCTTTTAATAAACAGTAACAAGTTCTCCACTAAAATGTTTAAACTGAGAGAAAAATAGGTAAGTCCAGCTTTTAAAAGAAAAATTCAATAAATAGCTATTTTACAAGGATAAAGTCATAGTGGTACAAATTTATGAATGTCACATCAAGCATGCACAAAAATGTTACTATACACAAGTAGTCAGAAAATATTGAAATAGATATCTAAAAAGATATGCAGAATGTACATATTTACAAATCTTGCAAATTATTGCCTCATTTTAACAAGGAATTAAAAGTAAACTTTACCAGCTAGCTTGCCAACAGGCTACATAAGATTAGAATTTAAAAATCTATTAGACTAGCTGGAAATCATTTTTCTCTCATACCATTTTCTGAATTTTGGTCAAAAAGTCTTTATTAAATAACTAAAGTGTCCATTCAACTTGCTGACAATCCAAACTTTAGACAAGCCTCTGTCTATATTAAGATCCCAGCAATGCATAGATAAACTGAATATATTACTGCATCAGCTAATGAGAATGGGCATGTTCATTTAAGTGCAACTGGTATAAGCATTCAGTCATCTTTGTGTTATGATTTTTATACAGACCAGCCACTGTAAACCCATAGTTAAACTTGAATGTATAACAATGAAAGAATATGGCCAGTATTTTACAAAATTACATAAAATGTGTTGATTCAGAAATAAAAGAAACAAGGTACAAAGTTCAGCACAAAACACAGCAACAAGAAGTTGACAACTTGGCTAAAAATATCAGAGTACAACACAGGGCCAAGGCTACCCGTTATTTACTGTGTACTTACTAGAATTACATATTTCAGATGTTTAAGTTAAAGAATTGATAAATTATCGCTAACTAATTTTGTCCACTGTGCTAAACTATTTTTTATAGTAAATGTGCTATTGCGTAAACAGTTCAAAGCGATCTTCATTACAAGGCTGTAAAGAAAACTTGGGAGTATGTTGCATCCAAAATTCAGGATCTCAATGCAGTTCACAGTATATATAATAAATACCCTCGTCCCTTTCAAATACTACCCAAAGTCTCTACTACTAAATTACTCAGCATAACCTTGAAGCAATTACTACAAATATTACCAATGTAGTCAAACTTAAGCATTTTAAAAAATGCAAGCAAGTTAGTGGCAATTAAATCTGCATTCCAGACAGTGCAAAGAAAAGTGTGGGTGCGTGCGGGAAATTCTACGGCAATTCAATTGTATTAAGCTATACTTCAGAATCTTGTAAACAAAAATGAAAAAAGCACAAACCTGAAAGTTGTATGCTCTGGAAGCATATCACATACAAATACTATGTTCTGTAAGAATCTGTAACACAACTTAAATAAAAAACTATTAAGTAGAATCATTTACGGTCATCAAAAATTTCATCTTAGTATTCACCAAAATTGATTGGAATAAACAATTTTTTGTCAATCCCCATTTGAGAAAAGCATTCAAATGTCGTTTTGAGAAAATGACTTGTCAAAACAAATAAACATAATCCATGCTAAAGCAAGTTTCAAATGTATACTTCAAGGTTGTACTGCACAATATAAAAATCTAGATAGTCCCTCAAATGAACTGCAGTGCTCCAAACAATTTAAGGTATGTCCCAAATGTAAACCATTTAGTGGTGAATCCTAAACAATGCAGACTGTGGCTTTATACATCAGCTGCCTTAGAAAAAAAAGTTGATACACAATAACTGGTGTTATTACATTACACTTCAAAGTTGTGGACAAAACCCCATCAGAATATTCTAAAATGCATTTGTTTATCCAATAAATTTTAAGTACACAGAAATCTTCTGGCAGTATAATCACTTCTGTGTAAGGTAGCCATGGCCTATAATTTTGCAACAGCATCTAAGTTTGTGTCTTCACACTTTGCTCATATAGTCCCTTGTGCTAGCTTCCACCAAGATGAACTTGCTGTTTTGTAAACTGAAGTGCCCAAGTTTAGTATCACATGAGAGAAGGTTCCATTAAAAAACATCCTTGTTTGTGCAGTTTAAATTAAAGAAACCCATTCCTGCCTTTATAAAAAAATGCTACATTGAGCAGGAATCAGGATCTGTACCTGTAAACATTGTTATTCCACTGCATCGGTTACGGCAAAAGTAACTTAGACTAAAAAGCCACTCCAATCAGTTCACAACTTCTGTGCTGGTTTTGAGATGGTGGCCCCTGTCTACAGGCTTTAAAAAAAATTGAAGCAGAGCTTAAAGCTGCACCAGAGTTCTCTTAGTCTCAAACTCTGCCGAACATCATATGAATTCTCCACACGTATGGATTGAAAAATGAAATTATTCTTGATAAATCAAGATATAGTTCTATACATACAAAGACATCACTGATGTCATACAGTTCAAACTTCCAGTGAAAGACTAAGCAAACCTGACAGTTCCCATCAAGTTTACTGCTGCGCATAAAGTACCCATTGTTTCTGTAATTCACCACTGGAGTCATTCTGAGTGAAGGGCAGTATGTTGGTGTAAAGTGTGGGCACTGATGAAACCATTTGTCTCATTTGCAGATAAACTGCTGAAGTCAGCCACTGAGACTGCCATTTTGGCACTGGTAATATGATGTGTGTGGTTCTCAAAGTCCACACCCAAGTTATTTACAGAAACATCATTCATAAAGGGTTCAGGGACTGCAATCCCCATTTTTAATCGCTTGGCAGGTCTCTCTGACTCTTCACTGCACATGTTCATTGGGTTTAACTCCGAGTGATAAAATCCAGTCTCAAATAAATTAAAACAATCACTTTCACCATTACTAGGCAAGGTAAGCAACTCTTCTGTTACAACAGGCACATGATTTACTGGTGCTCGTGGTAAGCTGTCCAGAGGAGAAAAGGCATCTTCCAAGCAGTTCCCATCGGTAGAGTGGCAGACTGTAGCTACGCTATTGGTCAATGCTGAAAAAAATACACACACAATAAAAAGTGACTTTGAGGTACAGTTACAGAGAATGCTCTTTTAAACTTCAATATTGATTTTTCTTGATTTACCTGTCAAATCATTGGCAGATATGGAGTTTAGAATGCTTAGCTGTTGATCAGGAATGGGTTCCGTTCTGCTATTAGAAGTTAAGGCTGAAGAATGTACTGCTCCACCAAGGGCTTCTGCTTCATCTACCAACCGATCCATATAGTCCCTAGAAAGAGATCCTATATTAGAAATGGTGTATGGATAAGAAATGGGATTTTATTTCTTTAATCCATCATCACTGCAAGATTTCACCACCCAATAAAATCTGGGAAAAATTCTAGATGCAGAACTGTCAATGGAAAGATATATTCCAAACACTCACGTGACCCCTGGGTGATGATTGTACCTCTTCTTTCCAAACCTTGTTTGCTGAGCAAAGTAATCATAACGTTCGGATTTCTTCCACATGTAGTAGAATGCTACACATTCAGCAACTGTTCTACTTCTCACCTAAAATGAGACAGGAAAGCCTAACTTGTTTTTTTTATTGTTAAAGGAGGGAGGGGCTTTGTAATAATCTCCATTTTCCCCATAGCTCTGCAATCTCTTTAGTTACCTCATTCCTATAGCAAGAGCAAGAAATTCTTTATTGAGATTCTTCAAATAATCCAAATTTGGAAAATGTACTTATTTTATATCCATTCAATAAGGCAGTTTATCTGCTCAGCAACAGAAAATTCAGGCTTCCATTTTTAAAATAAGTTTTACACTGAGACTGTGTCCATGATAGAAATTAAAGTTTCAGTCTCAGTCCATAACTTCGTATTTTGAATCTTCATAAATTCTTAAGTTAAAAAAGGGAGAAAAACTAACAGCAATGTGAAGAGTAATAGTCTAAAAGGGAAAAATAAATAGGATATTTTGGAAACACTACTTTTTTATGGTTATGGACCAGATTTGGTTCTAGTTGGGGATGGCCCAGGGTCTGGGAATTTGACACCCCTGGTCTAGATGATCCAGAACATCCATTTTATCCCTCTTATTCATGAATCAACATGCATTATGCAATTTGAGGCTTCAAATACACTTGTTTTCCTTATACAAAGAGGCGTCAGTTTTTGAGTACACAAATCTAGAAGTCTATCTAGGCTCTTATTCCACCTATTTCTTCTTCCTACCCCTGAAGCTTTCATCCATCCATTTAAAGAGTAGATAGTTGTCTCTTTGCTGAGTCAGTCCACATCACCACTCCTTAGCCAGAAGAATTACTGTTGAATGGTAATTTCACAGTATTCCACTTTCCTGCTAGAACTTTAATGGCTGTGTCCTTTGTAGCTGCAGAACTCCAAGCCCTTGATGGTTATGAGATGGATAAGCTAATTAAGATATCTTTTCCTGGTCTAGACTCAGAGAATGAATTAAAGGAGGTAAAGCCCCCATTAAACCATATGCAGCATAAAATAGAGCAAAACAAAATGATAAATAGGGCTCTACCAAACTCATGGTCCATTCTGGTGAATTTCACAACAACAGGATTTTTAAAATAGTAAGCTTCATTATTTCAAATATTTAATTTTAAAATTGCATGGTAGTGTAATTGTAAGGGTCCTGGCCCAAAAAGGAGGTGTGTGTGTGTGTGACTGCAGTACTGCTACCCTTGCTTTTGGTAGTGGCATGGCCATAGGAGCTGGGCAACTAGAAAGTGGCAGCTGCTGGCTGAGATCCCAGCTCTGAAGGCAGAGCTGTCAGCAGCACTGCAAAAGTGATGGCTTGGTGTGGTTATTGCCACCCTTATTTCTGCACGGATGCCTGCAGGGCTGGTCCCTCAATCAGCAACCAGCACTGTCCAGTCACCCTGCTCTGAAGGCAGCCCTGCAGAAGTAGGGGCTACAAGGCATGGTACTGCTACCCTTACTTCTGCACTGATGCTGGTTGGGTGCTACCTTCAGAGCTGGGTGGTTGGCCAACAGCCATGACCCTCCAGCCATCCAACTCTCAAAGCAGTGCAGAAGTAAGAGTGATTATATTGTGATCTTCCTTTAAAATAATCTTGTGACCTCCCTGCAACTTCCTTTTGGATAACAAGAAACATTAGTCTCCTCCACAAAATATGTACGGTATAAAAGCTCACAAACCAGATTTCATAGGGGGAGACCAGATTTCACAGTCTAGGAAGCGATTAGGGAGTTTGCGAACAGGAGGGAGTTTTGAGAGGGGAGTTTAGAGGGGGCGCTTAGAAGGTGCTAGTTACTTCTGACCTTCTTTAAACGTAAAACTTTTATAATCTATATCCCAAACATTTAAATAAAAACACCATATATAATCAAATTTATTCATAGTAGAAAATACAGACAGAAGCCCAGCAGCAGAGTGGGGGGCTATCCTGTTTATTGCCTCAAGTGTAACATGTATGATTACCTGCCCTGTGGGTGAGTGGGTGGCGTGAAGTGACCAGGGTGATTCCTAACAGGAGGGAGTTTTGAGAGGGGAGTTTAGAGGGGGCGCTTAGAAGGTGCTAGTTACTTCTGACCTTCTTTAAACGTAAAACTTTTATAATCTATATCCCAAACATTTAAATAAAAACACCATATATAATCAAATTTATTCATAGTAGAAAATACAGACAGAAGCCCAGCAGCAGAGTGGGGGGCTATCCTGTTTATTGCATCAAGTGTAACATGTATGATTACCTGCCCTGTGGGTGAGTGGGTGGCGTATGTGGGCACCCGATACAAGGAGCTCCTGACCCTCAGAGACCGAGTTTGGGCTTTGGAGGCCAGGGTGGCTGAACTGGAGGAGCTAAAGGGGGCAGAGAGGTACGTTGATGAGGCTTTCTGGGACACTGTAGTACCGTCCCACCTCCAGTCTGACAGCCCCAGTGCTGTTAAGGAGGATGAACGGCTCAGAGGAAGAGAGCTGTCAATGGGAGCAGAGGGAAACCATCCCATAGTTGGGACCCTCCTTCCAAAGGATGTTATGGTATCCTCTTGCACTGTCGCTTTCGTGGGCCAGACCCACTTCATGAAAGCTCATCACCTAATAAACCGTCTTGTTAGTCTTTAAAGTGCTGCATAGTCCTGTATTTTGTTTCAGCTACACCAGACTAACACGACTACATCTCTATTACTATTCAGGGGAACAGAGCATTCAATGGGAGCAGAGGGAAACCATCCCATAGTTGGAACCCTCCTTCCAAAGGATGTTATGGTATCCTCTCGCACTGAGGACACCTCTCCGGGAACGGGAACATCAGTTGTTAGGAAGAGGCAAAGGAGGGGAGGGAACCAAAGTTGTTGAGTGAAAAAAAAAAAAAAGGACTCCAAGACTTATTAAGCAAAAAAAAATTAAATAAAACAGCATTAAAACAGCATGTCCCCTTTAAGAGTAAGTGCAGGGATAGGAACAGGAGAGCGGTTGAGCTCTAAGACCCATTCCCCTTGGTCGGCAGCCATTTTGTGCCGGCAGACTTGCGGAACCAGGTAAGCATGGATTCTGAGGTTAGGGGGCTGGGTGTGTTGGGAGCCGGGGGGGTTGAGGGGAGGCCAGATGCTGAGTATTTGTAGGGTTGCCAGAAGTCCGGCATTTTCACCTCCTGGCCAGGGAAAAAAGAACAGAAAATACCGGTCATCAAACTGGGGACGCTTTTGGGATAGGGGGAGCCTATACAGGAAGGATGGGTTCCACTTAAAACAAGGTGAATCCAGACTGCTGGCACTAAACATTAA